GTGTTTTACAACATGAAGTTAATTACCTGATATTCGCAACTACTAGTAAGGTGGATGGTAGTGAAAGGCGTGGGAAATGATGTAATATTCCTTTTGTTCTATTAATATCTATATCATAAATGGACACTTAGTTATCATAATTCAAACGATTGTAAAATCTCGAGTGCCTTTAGTTTCAGGTAGCTAAAAGGAATGATGGCAAATTGACAATGGGACAATAGGTCTCGAATCCCCATAACAAACCTTATCACGGATAGCATATTTACTGAAACTAACCAAAAGTTTCAGTCTGGCAGATCACGAGGTGTGATTCTAGGGAGGGTAATAGAAGAAACCAGGCGCGGATTTTGTTAATTTCTACTAATTTTATATAGAGATTAGATTATATATATCAATAGTATAAATATTTTTTTATATGAACAAGTCAAACCTCCATAAAATATGTGATGACAAATTACCTACTATTCAAGTAAGATGACTAGGGTCAGAAGGGAAAGTGTGGAAACTATAAATCCTTTTAATTAGGAAGAGGTTAAAAAAAATAGTAAGACGGCTTGATTGTATTTAAATTCATTGTGCTAACAATGCATATTACCTAAATTCTCTTAAATATATAATGAGAATCTTAGCACAAGAACCTTAACTGGTCAACCTAGTGTAGCTTTCTGTCCGTATATTAGCTATATATATTATCAGATGACGGCAGACAACACTAAAAAGATTATATTAACTGGACAACGTTAATAATGTTAAAAATATTACTCAAAGTAACAATATAAAACAAAGAAAAATACGCTAAGAGACATAGAGAGAAAGAGAGGAAGAGATTCTTATTTCTTCTTCAATTGTGTGTATTTTTCTATCTATTACAATGCCTTTATATAGGCATAAAAAATAAAAAAAATATGTCATTGAATATGTCATTAAGCATTTGAATTGAAGATTATGGAGGAAGAGTAGACGTCCACTATAATTTGATATTTCTTATAATATTCCCCCTTGGATGTCCATAGATAATGTACCTCGTTAAAACCTTATTAGAAAAAAAAAATCCTAGTGAAGGAAAAAGAGGACACATGTTTAGAAATACGTCTTTTGGTTGCCTTGTTAAAAACCTTGCAAGGAAAACCCAGTGGAACAAAACCTTGTAAGGGAAAAAGAGTACAACGCGTATTAACTCCCCCTGATGAGAGCATCAATTCACATCCTTGAGTCTTCGCATCCCAATCTTGTACACTAGTTTCTTGAAGGTTGACGTTGGTAGAGATTTGGTGAACAAATCAGCCATATTATTACTTGAACGGATCTGTTGCACATTGATATCACCATTCTTTTGAAGATCATGTGTGAAAAATAACTTTCGTGAAATGTGTTTTGTCCTATCCCCTTTTATGAATCCCCTCTTCAATTGGGCTATGCATGTTGCATTGTCTTCATACAAAATTGTAGGTAGTTTGTCACACTTCAAACCACATTTGTCTCGAATAAGATGTATTATATACCTCAACCAGACACATTCTCGACTTGCTTCATGAATAGCAATTATCTCAGCATGATTAGATGAAGTAGCCACGATTGATTGCTTAGTCGATCGCCAAGATATGAAAGTGCCTCCATATGTAAACACATAGCCTGTTTGAGATCGAGTCTTGTGTGGGTCAGATAAATACCCAGCATCGGCATAACCAACAAGATCAGGACTGCAATCATTGCCATAAAATAATCTCATATCGGTAGTCCCTTTTAGATACCGCAATATGTGTTTGATTCCATTCTAATATCTCCTTATAGGAGCAGAGTTATATCTTGCTAAGACATTAACTGGAAAAGTTATGTCAGGCCTTGTAGTGTTAGCAAGATACATTAATGCACCAATTGCACTAAGATATGGTACTTCGGGACCAAGAAGTTCTTCATTCTTTTCTTGAGGTCGGAACGGGTCCTTATTCACATCAAGTGATCGAACAATCATCGGAGTACTTAATGGATGTGCTTCATCCATGTAAAACCGTTTCAATACCTTTTCTATGTAGGCAGATTAATGAACAAAAGTCTCATTTGCCAAATGTTCAATTTGCAAACCAAGACATAACTTTGTCTTTCCGAGATCTTTCATCTCGAATTCCTTCTTTAAATAATCAATTGCCTTTTGAAGTTCTGTAGGAATTCCAATAAGGTTTATGTCATCAATATATACAACAAGTACAACAAACTCTGATATTGTTTTCTTTATAAAAACACATGGACAAATGGTATCATTTATATAACCTTCCTTTAATAAATATTCATTAAGGCGGTTATACCACATTTTTCCTGATTGCTTTAGACCATACAAAGATCTTTGCAATTTGATTGAAAATATTTCCCGGGACTTCAAATTATGTGCGTAGGGCATTTTAAATCCCTCGGGAGTTTTCATATATATTTCATTATCAAGTGAGCCGTAAAGGTAGGCTGTAACCACATCCATTAAATGCATGTCAAGCTTTTCATGGACAGCAAAACTAATGAGATAACGAAATATTATAGCATCCATAACAGGAGAATACGTCTCTTCATAATCGATACCAGGCCTTTGTGAAAATCTTTGTGCAACAAGGCGTGCCTTATATCTTTGTACCTTATTTTTATCATTCCTTTTACGTACAAAAACCCATTTATAGCCAACAGGCTTAACACCATTTGGTGTTTGGACTACAGACCCAAAAACTTCACGTTTCGCAAGTGAAGTTAATTCTGCCTAGATAGCATCTTTTCATTTTGGCCAATCATTTCTCTGTCTACATTCATCAACAAATTTTGATTCAAGATCCTCATCTTGTTGCATTATTTCAACAATGACATTATAAGCAAAAATGTTATCGATAACAATATTATTTCGGTTTTATCTTTTTCCCGTTGAGACATAACTTATTAAGATCTCTCCATTCTCATCATTTTCAGGTACCTGAACCTTCCTTAAGGTTTTATCATTTGTTATGTCTCTGTGCTCTTCTTGAGCCACTACCTCCGTATTATGATCACTTTGATCATTTGCTCCTTTTCTTTTTCGAGGATTTTTATCCTTAGAACCGATTGGTCTACCACATTTCAAGCGTGGTTTAAACTTATTTTCTTTAATTGATTGTCCTACCGGAATTTCAACTCGAATTGGAGCATTAGCAGCTGGAATATATGACTTAGTCACCCTTGGTAGGTCAGTGAATGCATCTGGCAGTTGATTTGTAATATTTTGCAAATGAATTATCTTTTAAACCTCTTGTTCATATTGATTTGTTCGAGGATCTAAATAGTGGTAATACATTCCAATCTATCTCCTTTATTATCTGCTTATTTTCTTCCCCTAATGTTGGGTATACCGATTCATCAAAATGACAATCAGAAAATCTTGCAGTAAATAAATCTCTAGTCATAGGCTCCAAATATTTTATAATAGAAGAAGATTCATACCCAACATATATCCTCAACCTTCTTTGGGGACCCATCTTCGTGCGTTATGGTGGAGCAATTGGAACATATACCGCACATCCAAAGATTCTAAGATGGGAAATATTTGGCTCCTGACCAAAAGCCAATTGTAATGAGGAGACTTTATGATAACTTGTGGGCCTTATCCGCACAAGTACTGTTGCATGCAAAATAGCATGACTCCATACTGAAATGGAGAGTTTTGTTCTCATAAGCATTGGTCTAGCAATTAATTGGAGGCGTTTGATCAATGATTCTGCTAAACCATTTTGTGTATGAACATGAGCAACCAGACGCTCAATTGTTATCCCAGTTGATATACAATAATCAGAAAAGGACTGAGATGTAAACTCACCAGCATTATCAAGACGAATTGTCTTAATTGTATAATCTGAAAATTGTGCCCTTAGCTTTATTATTTGAGCCAACAATCTCGCAAATGCCATATTGCGAGTTGATAATAAGCACACATATGACCATCTTGTAAATGCATCTACCAAAATTATATAATATCTAAATGGTCCACATGAAGGGTGAATGGGGCAATATATATCACCCTGTATACGTTCTAGAAATATAGGGGATTCCATCCTAACTTTAATAGTTGATGATCCAATAATTAATTTGCCTTGAGAACATGCAACATAAGAAAATTCCTTAAATTGAAGAATCTTTTGGTTCTTCATTGAATGTCCATGTGAATTCTCAATTATTTTACGCATCATAGTAGAACCAGGATGACCCAACCAGTCATGCCAAATAATAAAATTATCTTGATTAGTAAACTTTTCATTTAATATGGCATGCGTTTCAATCTTGCTAATACTTTTGTAATATAAGCCGGAGAAAAGAGCAGGTAACATTTCAAGCACATATTTTTTGCCCGACTTTATTATAGTAATATAAAGATATTCAGTCTTTTCATTATTTGTAGTCTTAATGTGATATCCATTTTGGCGAATATCTTTGAAACTTAGTAAGTTTCTCTGAGACTTACTACAATATAATGCTTCATTAATAACCAAATTTGTTCCTCCGGATAGTTATAAATTTGCTCTTCCTGAGCCTTCAATTAATCTTGTACTGTCAGATATTGCATTAACATTGGCTTCTTTCATCACCAAATAAGAGAAATATCTTGTATCTCTTAAAATAGTATGTGTTGTAGCACTATCCAAAAGACATATATCATCTTTATTGAGCTTGGATCTAACTGAAGACTGAAAAATTTTCATATTCTTCATAAATAAACAAAAAGTACATCATAAGAAATACGAAAGACTATAAATAAAAGAAATATTAGAAATTACACGAGGAATATAGAAACTAGCATATATGATGATTTAAGAAAGTACACTTAAGAAGAACAAACTACGTAAAGACATAATATGAAAATAACAACTTTTCTTAAAGCTTTATTCCTCAGTAAGATAATCAATTCCTCAGTCAATATCCTCAAAGAAGTCTCCAGCTTCTAAATGAGTAATATTTGCAAGGCCTCCAAAATCATCATCTTTATATGCAAGATTTGCCTCAACATCATCATATTTGTTTGAGGGGCCTGCTTTATCATCATCATTTTTAAAAGTCAAGTGTGCCTCCACATTGTTATCTTTTCTTTTATTGGATGCTTGATAAAGTTTGACAAAATGGTCAGGTGTACGACAAACACGTGCCCAATGACCTTTCATACCACATCTGTGGCAAATATTAACTCTACCTTTCAAAGGATTATTTTGAGGATCCTTATTGTTCTCCCATTTATTTTCGCCATGATGACGATAATTATTTCGTCCCCTTCCATGTCCTTGTCCCCGTCCATGACTATGGCCACGACTACGATAATAATTTTGTCTTCTTTCAGACTTTTGAGTAGTTGCTACCATATTCACTTCGGAAAATGGTGCAGATCCCGTGGGACGAGCTTCATGATTTTTCATTAAAAGGGTATTATGTTGCTCAGCCACCAGGAGGCATGAGATTAATTCAGAATATTTCTTTAAACCCTTTTCACGGTATTGTTGCTGCAATACCATATTTGATGCATGAAAAGTAGAAAGAGTCTTTTCCAGTAAATCCTCATCATTCATAATTTTCCCACATAATTTAAGTTGGGAGGTTATCCTGAATACAACAGAATTATATTCACTTACAGTTTTAAAATCTTGTAACCGTAAGTGAATCCATTCATATCGAGCTCTTGGCAATATCGTTGCCTTAAGATGGTCATATCGTTCCTTCAAACTGCTCCATAATTCAAATGGATCCTTTAGGGTTAAGTATTCGGTCTTTAACCCTCCATCGAGATGATGACGAAGGAAAATCATAGCCTTTGCTTTATCCTGGCCTGATATTTCATTTTCTTGTATAATAATATTTTCAAGAGCTTTTGCAGCAAGGTGAATTTCAGCGTCAAGGACCCATGATAAATAATCCTTTCCGGAGATGTCAAGTGCCACAAATTCAAGCTTTGATAAATTCGACATAATGAAAACAGAAAGTAGAGTGGTGGTAGCTAGTGTATGTCAGATCAGACTTGAGTAGAAGCTAATTTCGTGCTAATAACGTGTTATAAATATTACTGAAAGTAACAATATAGAACAAAGAAAAACAAGTTAAGAGATATAGAGAGAAAGAGAGGAAGAGATTCTTATTTCTTCTTCAATTGTGTGTATTTTTCTATCTATTACAAGGCCTTTATATAGGCATAAAAAATGAAGAAAATATGTCATTGAATATGTCATTAAACATTTGAATTGAAGATCATGAAGGAAGAGTAGACATCCACCATAATTTGATATTTTTTCTGACAAATAAACCTCTTATTTGTATAGAATTCCTATTGTACCAAGACATTAGTTGATTATTTTAGAAATTTATGCATGCCTATTGCTCCAAAATCTCATCATTTGGGATTTAGGCCTATGCATAGGCCAGAAACGTAACCTATATATACTATAAGAAAATATAAGAAGTGTAAAGCCATTCCTTGAGCTTAATGTGATGCAGTTGCAAAATTATCATCACCCAACCTTTGTTTTATTTTATATCTTGTTGAATCATCTAAACACTTGGAAATGCCTAAATTTTATGGTTTTCCGGCACTAACGCCTTCCACTTAAAAAATACTTCGAGGGTAAGCTGCAATTTTATAAAAGTTTAACGGGCATTCTTGGTTTCATAATGTCATGGAAAAATAAGAACTGAAAAAAACTTGCAACTGCACCCTTAGTTTCTTTTCTTTTCTTTTCCATTCCCTTAAACCTATACTTGCATGAAAATATATATTGAATAATTAATGCTATTAACAGTACATAATTATCCCTCTACTCAATATGATCATAAAAGGGTATCTAGATTAGATCACAACTGACAAAATATGACGGTCGTGCTCGTCTAGGACTTGGCTGTGTCTTTTGGGTCGGCCAAGCTCATGCGACACCGACATCAATAAGTATTAGGTCACCAAAAGACAACTCAACTGCAAAATATCATTTAACTCTCGGTCTTAATTACCCTCAATAATAATCCCCACAAAAATAAAAGCTGCATGTTTGGGGACCTTAGAAGCACGCAGCTGCAGGAAAAGAAACTGACCATGTCTAAGCAAGAAGAGTTGCTAAAATCTGCAAGCGATTTATTATTCCTCACGATATATCTGCCAACTCTCTGAAATAGACTATTTTTGACAAATTACAGAAATTCTACTGTCTAGTGTATACAAGAAAAAGCAAGTCAAAAATGGCCGAATAAACTTGATTGGGACATATAAGTACTTAACGGATCATCACAAGGATGCTCATTAATGACCAATGGATACATTCCTAGTTCTTCTCTGACATTTAAAATACTAGTAATGTTTTTTCAATAGAAATGATAATGATAATATACTATGAAAGCATGAAACTAGACTCTTAGGACCCTTTGGCTATAGATTTTGGCAATTTGTATTGAATTTTCGTTTTTTCAAGTTCCCAAAAACTGGTTTAGGAACAGTTTTTGGGTGAAAAATTTCGTTACATGTCCAAACACAATTTCAAAAACTCATTTTTTATGTTTCAACCAAATCTATGTCCAAACTCTAGTTTAAAACTTTCTATCTAATACCGGTGCAAGAATTTATTTACACAATCAAATCATCTATTACAAGTAAAGTTATATGCTTGAATTAATTATTTATCTGAAATAGTACTAGCTAATCTGCTAAAAAAAGTTATACTGTACTGATAGTCTAAAAAATAAGTTCAAAGTAATCCATATGACTTATAGCTTGCTAAACCAACTGCACCTCAAAGATTAGGGGACTCATCCTCATGAGTACAAAAATACAACAAACTTCTAAGAAGGAAATTAAAAATGAAAGAACACTTAATTATTTGCAAAATCACTTATAATTTCTCCAATCTAAGAACCCAATGAGAAGAGAAATCTCAACCTTTATTATTCTGCCACAATTCGAGCAAACAGCTAAGTCTCAAGCTATAGTTAAGAAAACTTGAAAGATACCTAAAAAAAAAGATGATAAAAGAGCAGAAGAAAGTACTTATCTGCATAGTGTACCAATCTGTTTGCCCTAATAAAGATAAAGAGTACTTAGTTTCAGAGATTTTCGAATCAAGGGAAAACTTCTCCGTGTTTTCAGCTCTCTTCCACTTCTACTAAATCAAGTAGTCTATATATAGATAAAAGCTGCTCTCATATTCTGCCACATACCGTACCTTAAACGTATTATCAGCATTTAGATCTTCCCTTACCAGTATCATAACTTTTATCATAATATGCATCACATGCATATGTTCCTGATACAACATTTTTGAACTGAAAGCTGTTTAAGGATCCATCTTAACACTAAGCTCTCTCTTTGGTTTTCACTACCTAATTATTTTAACTAAATGAGTTACTAAGAGGTCGTTGGTAAGACGTATTAGGGAAAATAATATATGTATTAGCATTGATATAATTAATTACTTGTTTGGTAGTTATACACTCTATTCACTGTTATTCTTATACATAGAAAATCATGACATTAGCAATATCATGATTTTTAATACATGGATAAACATGTATAAAGACAAAATTGCCCTTTCAAAACATTTAATACACCAAACCAAATGCTCACTTCGATCCACAATAAGTGATTTTTTGGATGTTTTCGCACAGATTAAGAAATTTATCTTTTAACATTAATTAGCAATGAAATTGACCATATTAACCTTTACTATCTCTTCACATAAACACTCTTAACATATACTCCAACATTATTTACTCCAAGGGTAATGTAGAAAAAAAATAATTAATTCATTCTTGAAATCTGAAAAAATCACTTATTTTGGACCACAAAAAAAAGTCAAAAAATCACTTATTGTGGACCTGAGGGAGTAGTTGATAAGAACTAATCCCAACATTACTAATAGACCATATTCAGTACTATTTTTATACACCCTACTAAAAAACCCCTAACAATATAAGGAATTTATACATTATTAGGTTATACAGTGACCTGTTTAACTTGTTAATGGAATACTGGTTAATTTTTTAATAACAAGTTTGATGCAATAACCTACCTAGAATCTAGAATCAAAGTGATGTTGTTCTATAGCCAGCTAAGTTACACTGTTTACGTAAAAAAAATTAGACTATTCACTTATGTGCCCAATGCAATGTGAGGATTTTCCATACTATTGAGTTGAAATGATGTATAACAAAAGGTAATACTGTAGTACTATAAAAGTTAATCCTAATTTGGTAACCTGAAGATGCAATAAATAATCTGTACTAACTAACTGGAGTATATAATAGTAGATATTTATAGTGTAAAAATTCCTTATGATGTTAATTTTAAATTAATTACCACATTATATATTCTTGAAAATTAAACAAAAAAAAAAAAAAAGACAGCAGCCCGGAAAGGCGGACTTATGAAATGAGGCTGAATAGAAGAAATGGTTGTCAACGGTGCATGTCACCAATGCATTTTTCTCATAATCCAACAGCCTAAAATATAAGTAAATGAAAGGTGAGGGGCAAATGACAGATCTTAGGGAAAACAAAAACAAACAAAATCTTGGCCCCAACCAGACACGAAACATATCTACTTCGCCCCCATATAACCCGGCAAGCAGACGGATAAACAGGAAATAAAGTAGTATTAAGTTCAAATCCGACCAGAAAGACAATTGAAATCCATACTCAGAGTAGAAAAACCTAGAAAAGAATGTAACACAGAATATGCAAAAATGCACACATCCATATGCAGCACAAAATATATACTACCAATGTTGCTTAAAGATTTAACTGATACTCAGTAATACTGTAATTTTTTAATACTATCAATGTATTTTAGTAACTTGTTTTAATAAATGATTTGCTTTCTGAGTTGCTAATTTATATTATAAACAATTAGTTATAATTATTTTTAAAATGACCTTATATAGCATATAGAAATTAAACTTTCTCCTACTAATTCAAAAAAAAAAAAAAGGACAATCAATACACAAGCCATCCCGCATTCATGCAAGATTCGGACAAGGGCTTCACCCCAAGGGGTCTGGTCTAATGTAGACCGCCTACCCTAATTAATGAAAGTATTAGTGGTTGCTTCTACGGATCGAGGTCGGAAACAAATTTATCATTCCTCCAGCTAATTCGTTCTACAAAAATCACAATAAAAAGAAGCTTGCCGATAAGATCAACAAATAGTGTAATAATTAGTAATAATAACAAAATAAAAGTCATTCTTGAAATCCCAAGAAAACTAACATCCTATAAGAAACCAATGTCTTACTTCAAGGAGAAGTGCTGGAACTTCTGTTTCTCCTTCCCATTAACTAAATGGACGTAAATGAAGTTAAAACAAAATCAAGAATTAGATTATTCTACGGCCTCTTTAGTAATCCTTCCTAAGCCAAAATGCCATAATTAAAATTTAAATCTTGAATCCGCCTCCGCTTAAGGTCTCGGCGGTGGAAAGAATTGCGTACCAGCCATGAAAGCATTAATAGGAGTTGGATATACCGAAGGATCGAACATTGTACCATGTTGTTGCTGGTGACTCGTGGCGGCAGCTGCGGTGGTGGAAGTGGTGGCGCCGGTGATAAAATTCAGCGCTTGTTGAGCGGCGCCACTACCTGATGAACTCTCTCCACCACCACTATATCGACCCTCTGGCCCTTGATCGTATAAAATTCCTTTGAATAAATGGCCTCCTATATTAACAGCCGTTTGATAAGCAAATTGATCTTCTGCATCGTCAATTGCACTAACTTTTACGCAGCGAAATACTGCTTGAGAACTTACTTCTGCAGGAAAATGACCACCTACCTCTAACCCTAGCAATCAAAAAAGCACCTTAGTACAAATCAAATAATGAACTAAGGAGTATCATTATTACTTCAAAGAACACAAGAAAAAAGATGAAGTACAATACTCAACAATGCAATAACTTTTATTTCGTCAAGTTTACTTCTTAACAGTAGAAAAATGAAAA